AGCCAGGCACAGCTGGAAGGTCAATATGATAAAAATATATAAATAAATGTATAATGTTATGAGATTTAAGCTATTTAGTCTAAACATTTGTGTTTACGTTATAATTTGTTGTAAAAAACAAAAACTATATTTTACTTCCTAATTTTTCATGGTGGTTACGAGATTGGTCTAATCGACCAAACCTGTACAGAGATTTGTTAGAGAAAATAACAGATAAAATAGAAACATTTGATAATTATCTGGACATTATAAAGATTCCACACCTTTTAGCTTAATTTTGAAGTTTGATAAACAGGTGTGCACTCAACACATGTAAAATTATCACTGGTCAAAGTAAGGTTAGGGTAATTAAACTAAAAAAAAATTACAACTGTTTGGATTAGTCTTATACTTTTCAAACATTTTTAGATCTTGCAAGTTAAAGAACTAATAATTGTAGCTGAAAATACTGATGACAGCAAGAGTAATCAATTCATGAATGAGACTTTAATAATGACATTGCATATGTCAAGTTATACTGGTATATTACATTAATTACTAGATTTGTAATTCTATGTAAGTAGCTAATGTTTATCAGACATTTAACCAACAATGCATAATTAATACACAAAATTCAAAATCCCAGTTTTATTACTTATAACCAATGTGTTTTCATAATATAAGATCTTGTTGAGAGGTCTACTATCAAACCCCATTCACAAGGCCTAAAGTTAACCTTTGGCCTTAATGGTGTTAGCGAAATCCTCTCATTTCTTTAGCACAGCATCTACACCTAGCACTCTAGAGAAAATGCAGGTTCTAGTTCTGTGCATTTTTATTATTACAAATTATGTCTTGAGGCTTTAATTCTGGCATTATAGGTCTACAGAATCTTTTAAAATAAGATATTTAGGGTTAACCAATTCTCTTAAAACTGAAATATTCTGACTGTGTTAATATCCCTACATATCACTAAATCAGAGTTACATTGAACTAATTAAAACCCCATTTTCTGTCATACAAAAATAACAAGATGACTTGTTACTTCTTTCATCTTCTGTGTGTTTGACATACAAGGTTTAAAGTACGAAAAAAAAACCTTAAAAGCTTGTCATTCTCACACAATAGATTCCTGTTCTGTACCTCTTAATTCTTTCAATACAGGATCGGTCAATGTGCTTGTTATAGTTTTCATGCTAAACGTTTAAATTAGTAAGTGAATGTTAACGAAATTTGGCAGATTATCAGTAATCCTTATAATGCTTTCATACATAAAATATCATTTTTTTTATTATTATTAAGTCTTAAGGTTCATAAAGCAATGTTTTCCTCGTGTCTATTTTTTCTTTTCTTTTCACATGTTGCTTATCTATCATGCAAAGTAATATTCATTTTAAGATTGAAAATACTTTAATGCATCAGAAAAGTTTGTAATTTCACATGCAAAATCTTTAAAATGTCCAGATAGTTATCAAACATTTCTTTAAAAAAAACAAAAAAAAACTTATTTTATCTGTTATTTTCAGTAATTAATCTCTGTATGGGTTCGGTAGATTTGACCGATCTTGCAACCACCATGAAAAATTTGGAAATAAATAATCAATTATGCCTCTTTCATTCTAGAATGAACACAAATTATAACACAAAAACATAAATGTTTAGACTAAATAGTTTAAACCTCATAACATTATACATTTATATATATTTATTATTTTTTTTGTTATATTGATCTTTCAGCCATGCCTGGCTAACAATACAGAAGTTACAATGGTGTGCTCATGTGCACTCATGTTACCGTATAAAGTAACATAAAACTGACCTTTGGTCTGTGCAAAGTAACTTGTCTTGGCAGTGTTTTGTAAAATTTCAATTATACATTATATATGTATATAGATTATTGCTATTTTGAAAAAAGTTCTTAAACTCATTTTTCCTAAAACATAGAACAGTAAATAAAGGAGTAAAGTAAACAATTATCTCTTCTAGTTATGACCTTTGTACTCTGTTGCTGCTTGATGTAGGTTGCTAAGCCTTGTCAACTTTTGCACATAGAGGATGTAAAAGAAAATAATTTTGAATGTGAGTAAACAAATAAGATGACATGGCCCTTCACTCATTTCAAAGGGGTTATTAGAAAGTTGAGAATCTCACCTCTTGTGTACCAGGGGGTACAGATCCATATTCGTTTGTTGGAGGCCCTCCTCCCATAAAGCCACCACCACCTCCTCTGTTAACATTCTAAGTTAAAAAAAAAAAATTAAATATTAAACATATCAGGTTAATGTGTATCACAAATATCCAAGTTCATTAAGTTACTAGTTAATATTCAACAAACTAATGAAAAAGGTATCCAACAAAGCCATGTTGTGCAATGTAGGACAAATATCTTCAGATTACCCTCCCTAAAGTGTTTTAAACCTGGGAATGCTTCTAGCCCTGTCAGTATTTGTGTTTCTACTGTTACTTTTTATTATAATTTTAGTATCTTCTTTATTGATTTTGGTTGTCATTAAGCACAAAGCTATACTACAAGATATCCGTGCTATGCCCACCATGGTATCAAAAACCCTATGTCCCCCTGGGGGGACAATTTAGTCTGATAATCATATCATCATTCAATTATTGACCAAAACCATATTTACTTACATGTTTATAAGACTAGCTTGCCAAGATGGGGAAAATATATTTATGTCCTCAAATACCAAACTTCAAATTAATCGATACGCACATTACAGTTCACAGGAATCAGTACGTTTCCAAATACAAAACAAGTTTATAATTTTGCCATCACCACATATCCTGTCAACACTATTAACAGTGCAGTTACATGGAAATAAACACGTGCAGGACTTTCTCAATGGAGTTTCAAGGAAATCCTATGTTAGGATTTCTCCAATATTAGCATTTACAGGCTTTTTTAAGGCCTGGAAAATAATCTACATTCCACACCTGTTACAAACCATGTAATATGTACAAACATTTCTTAAGTTCAGTTTTCAACCCATTTTCAGATATACATGTCCAATATTTAAGCTTCACATTCATTGTGTTTCTCTACAATACTTGCTAATGCAGTATTGACTGATGTGACATGATAAAAAAGTATAAAATTTGCCAGTTTACCTTAGAGATGGAGCATATACCTGATGTATAAGCATTTTTATTTTTAAAATATCAAAAATAAACATTCAGAATTACATACCTCAATTTCTTTTTCTGTTAATAGATCCATCACTAATTGTTTGGCAAACTGTAAAAATAGAATAAGTAACGTGATCATATTTATTAGTCTAGGGAAGAAAAACAAAAGTGTCAGAAACCCACATTTTAAATTATCAAAAGATAACTCGGCTATTCAACAGTTTGTCAGATGAAACAAAGAATTCTACACAAACAGGAAAGAAATCTGCTCATAAAAAACAAGAATAACACACCTCACACTTTGAAGGATCCCCAGTAATTCTGAGTGGCTTGTCTATCCCAGTTTGTTGGGGGCCATCCTGAATCATAACCATTTTCACAGCAGCTCGTTCCTGGAAAATAATTCTTTCCCATCATTTTATATTCAAAAGCCAGTAAGAAAATAAGATTATAAAATCCACTAGGATATGTAGAACTGCCTACGAAAAAATATCAACAAAATTTTAGAGCTCTTACAAAGCCTAATAATAAATCAAATAACTATATAACACAAAAAAGGGTTTTTAGGGAAAATTAAGAAAAAAAGTCAATTTCACGCACACTTTGCATACTTAAGTAAGATCAAAACAGCACAGTTATGTACACTGGTAGTTACTTTATATCAATATAACTACTTACCAAAATATCCAATATTTGGCAAAATTGTTTACCTGTTTTCAAAACTAGCCTCATTAATTGTCACTTAAATCACAATCGGTGAACTTAACCAACATATTTACCTCTGACTCGAAACATTTTACACTTTCTCCAGTAATATTTTATATTTCACATACGTCTTTTTCCAGTACAAAGGTTAATTTGCACTACTAATCATAGTTACTGATTCTACATTTTACCAGTTAACTTCATGTGACAACATTATGGTTTCAGTAAGTCCAGTCAACCTCTACTAATCATAGTTACTGATTCTACATTTTACCAGTTAACTTCATGTGACAACATTATGGTTTCAGTAAGTCCAGTCAACCTCTACTAATCATAGTTACTGATTCTACATTTTACCAGTTAACTTCTACCTGACAACATTATGGCTTCAGTAAGTCCGGTCAACTTCTACCTGACAACAGTATGGCTTCAGTAAGTCCGGTCAACTTCTACCTGACAACAGTATGGCTTCAGTTAAGAAGAGATT